CCTCAGTGAGACATTTCACTATTAGGATAAGAATTTGTACTGTATCAAGCTGATAATAGAAAAAAATAAAATACAAAAAAAGATATTTAAAAAAAAATGCTGTCAGTAGACCCGGGCCCAGTAGATCAACCTCAGATCCACCCATGCTGCAGATGATGGCTACAGACAGCTCCTGGGTGCCACCTGAGCCTCAGTTTGCCCAAGTAGACAAGCCTGGGGACCAGCAAGAGATGGTAAAGGCCAAGGGAGGGGCTGACTTCCCCTGGGCCTCCTCCCCATCTCCTTCCCTTCCATTCTCCTTTCCACCACACCCAGGAAGTGATGATCTCCACCCTCCCTCCAATGTGGCCCCAGCTCCTGCTTGTGTCTTGTAAGCTTTGCACACAGTAGGTGTTCAGTAAACCTTTGGGAGCAAATCCAGGGAGTGGCTCCTGTGGCTGTTCTGTGTATGCACACAAGTGGTGTGTGTGTGTGCACGTGTGTGTGTGTGTGTGTGTGTGTGTGTGTGTGTGTGTGTTCTTGTGTAGGGGTGTTGGCACATATGTGCCACAGTGCACTTACAGAGGCCCAAGGATGAACTTCAGGGGTTGGTCCCACTTTTCTAGTTTGTTCGCCACAGAGAGGGTCTCTTTGTTCTTGCACAAGCCAGGCTAGCTGGCCTTCCATCCATTCCCCTGTCTCTACTTCCCAGCTCCTGGGAGTGGATGTCGGGATTACCACCGTTCAGGCTATGGCTTTTCCGTGGGTTCTGGAGACCTGAACTCAACTCCAGTCTTGTGTCCTTGCCCAGTGAGCCTTCTCCCCAGCCCCCTTCAGCTCTCCTCTGGCAGATGAGTGTCTCGAATGATCCTGGAGAAACTTAAAGAATTGCACTATGCGAGGCCGGGCCACAGCTCGGGGTCAGAACACCTGCCTGGCATGCAATGGGCCCTGGGTTCCTTCCCCGGCCCTGCAAACATACCTAAGAAAAGAAACCAGAAGAACCTACATGCTGAGACCCAAAGTTCCAGGGCCATACAGGCAGCAAGATCTCCCACAAGCTGGGCACGAGTGTGCCCCTTACACCTGCCTTTCATAGCAATATGTTTCAATTCCAAAAAAGTCTTGAGGCCAGCTGTGGTGGCATAAGTCTTTAATCCCAGCACACAGGAGGCAGAGGCAGGCAGATCTCTGAGTTTGAGGCCAGCCTGGTCTACAGAGCGAGTTCCAGAACAGCCAGCGCTACACAAAGGAAAAAAAAAAACTATAAAAGGCTTGAGGCTGAAGAGACGGCTCAGGGGTTAAGAGCACTTACTGCTTTTCCAGAAGACCCGCATTTGGCTCCTAGCATCCATCTCAGGTGACTCACAGCCGCCTGCAACAGCAGCTCCAGGCACATCTACCCTCTTCTGGCCCTCCCCACACCGTGGTGCACTCACATGACATGTCCACTTTTATTTATTTGTCTTGTTTTATTTTGTTTATTATTTATTTTTTAATCTTTTTAAGTCTTTTTTTTTAATAGAAGTTGCCAGATGTGGTAGCACATGCCTTTAATCCCAGCACTCAGGAGGCAGAGGCAGGTGGATCTCTGTGAGTTTGAGACCAGCCTGGTCCACAATAGCAAGTCCCAGGCCAGCCAAAGGCTACCTGGTGAGACCCTGTCTCAAAAACAAACAAATCAGTCTTTTCTGATGGAGTAAGTTGGAGACAGTTTGGGTTTGGGTTTGAATTTATGTTTCCTTGAATCCTAGAGAGGAAGAATTTTTGTTACATATTAGTCATTTCCATGGCTTCTTCGGTGGATTATCTGTTCCCAATTTACTAATTTATAGTGAGAAATGTCACTGCCAAAGGGATCGGATACACGTGTCCTGCTGCCAACACTTGAGCTCCTTGTAGGCACAGTCCCCAGAAAGCCAAATCAAATCCGAGCGAAGCCTGGCGAGCAGGAGGCTCAGGAGCGGCTGGTGAGGGACTCCGGTGGCCAAGGGCACCGGAGACCTCCCTGCCTCGAGCTGCTGCTTTCTTGCTCGTCCAACCTTCCTTCAGATGGACGTTTTGAGCATTAGGAGCACACCTGTAACCCCAGCACTTGGGAGGTGCAGGCAGGCAGGAGGTGCAGGGTGTTCGAGGCCAGCCCCAGCTACGGAAAGAGTTGGAAGTCAGCCTGAGCTACACAGGACTCGGTCTCAGAATAAGAAGGATAAACGAATACTATTGAGTTCAGAGCAAACCCCTGTCGTCCTAGCTGCTCAAGAGGCTGAGGCAGGAGGATAGCTTGAGCCCAAGAGTTTTGAGAGGGAGGGAGGGAGGGAAGGAAGATGATGGCATTGCGATCACTTAGGGCTCTCTCTGGTCTAGTGCACCCCCACCCCACCCCCTTTTTTTCCTTCTGGTTTTTTCCTTAAAGACAGGGTCTCACTCTGTAGCCCAAGCTGGCCCAGAACTCATGTCAATCCAGCATCTCTTCCAAGCCATGCACTTGAACTCTCAGAAGATAAACTCAGCTCTCTTTGCCTCCTCAGCGGCACACGCATTCCCAGGACATTTACAACGCACAGCTGATACCTTGGGGGTGTCTGCCTTCCCGGGTGTTCTTGGGCAGAAGTGGTGCTGGGGTCTGTGAAGACTGACGTACACGGAGCAGTTGTGCTCGGCGCCTGGAGATTTTCTTTCCTCCGTCTTCAGACAGCTCTCAACCTCTGCAAGGTTACGACTCCTTGTGACTGGGGCCTTGAGCACGCAAAGGAAGGAGGGGAGAATGAGAAGAGCCCCACAAACATGAAGTTCTGGGTTCAAACCCCAGCACCACAGAGAGGGGAGGAACCAGAGAGGGACTCTGGGAGGAGGGTGAGTGTCAGGAAAGACTGCCGTGGAGGTGGGAGGAAACAGGATGTGGGGTGGGCAAGCCTGGGGCCCTCTTGCCTGCAGCTCCTAACAGCCTCTTCCGCAGGGCCCTGGGCCCTCTGGCTTGTTCTCCACCCCAGGCCTCCCAGTCCAAACCTGACTGAGTCACTCCCCCTTCAAGCCTGCCAGGTGTCCCTTTGCATAAAGGTCCGAATTCCTAAGGACACCAGGTGAAGCCCTTCACAGTGTGGCCCCAAATCTTCCTTCCAGGCTTAGAGAATTAGACCTCAGTTCTGGTCTGCCACAGCTTTGGTTATCAGATGCTTTGGCCTGTCTGGACCTGGCTCCTCATCTGTGGAAGAGGCACATTGGGTCCTCTGTCTTTCAGGGGTGTTAACTCTGGAAAGGGGTCTTCTGACCAAGAACCATGCATACACTATAATAACAGTATAATGATGTCATAACAGTGCTTATAAATATAATTATGCCTGGGCTGGTAAGAGGGCATGAGCAGGTTAAAGGCCCCTGCAACCAAGCCTGCCCATCTGGACTGATATGGTAGATGGAGAGAACCAACTCCTGCAAGATGTCCTCTGGCCCCCGACATGAGCACTCCCTCACCAGAGAGAGAGAGAGAGAGAGAGAGAGAGAGAGAGAGAGAGAGAGAGGGATACACACATAAATAAATGCAACTTTAAATTTTTTAATAATTATTTCTATTAGAATGCAAATATAAAAACTAAAATCTTGAAGCCCCAATCAGGAAGCAAGGGTGGTAGCCACGACTGCTCTGGGGCAGAACTTTAAAGTCTAAGGACATGGTACACTCTGTCGCACAAAGCCTTGTGTGGCTCTGACGAGGCCATGCCGTGAGGTAAACACACACGATGGCCAGTGCAGCTCGGGTCTCTGAGCTCTGCTACCCTGCAGCCTTGTGGCCTACAGCAAGTTACAATTAGGGGGTCACCTACTGTCCCCGAGAGCTGCTGCGGAGCACAGCAGGGCGGGGAGCGTAGGACTATTGCAAGTCCTTTTCCTCTTAGTCCCAAGGACAGCAAGCTGTTCAGGACAAGGGACTGGACAAGGGGTGCTGGCCCTCTGAGCCTCAGTTTCTGTATCTGCCAGTGCCAAAAGGGGAAACTGAGACCTCCTGCCGCAAGCATGCTGGGCGTTCCACAAATGTCTGTATCTGTCCCAGCCTGGCAAGGGCGTGGACCCCAGCTCCACGGTCTTGGCAGGAAAGCATGGCATTTGGCCCCGCTCTGTAGAAGGCTGAGAAAGGTACTCAGGGAAGGAAAGGGGTTTGAGGAAGGTTCCGGAACACGTGACCGGCTGCTTCTCCCATCAGCAGCTCTTAAACAAACAGCGTGCTTCCTCCGTTTGCAAGTCGTGGGGACCGCACATGAGGAATTTTTTTTTTCTCTCCTCCTTTTTTTGCTGATTAAGTTCCCCCAAAACCCCCTTAAGAATTTTAATAAGAAATGCAAAAATCAACAAAAGCGCAGCAAAGCCTTTCCTGTTATTAAATAAGGGAAAGTAAATATTGCAGATCAGACATATTTCATAAGAGGATGTTATGTTTGGGTGGGAAAAAAAATGACAGAGAAAAGAAAAGGCTAATTTGCTTTCTGGCAGCAAATGTGTCTTTGCTGAAATTTGATTTCAAATCTGATGACTGGGGCATTATCACTGGCTTGCCTGGAATTTAGGCCTTTGACATAGGAGGTACGTGTGCTCCAATAAGCAGGAAAGCTGGGGTTTGGAACTCTGTCCTGTGAGCAGAGAGGAGAGTTCTTTAGCCACCCAGGAAATTATGATCTATCGGGGGCCACATGCAAGGCAAAAGCCACCTGGAACAAAGAACACTTGGTTTTTAAGAGAGAGAAGACAAATGTTCTTTATAGCACCTTTTTAGAATGAGGGGTGGAGTCCTAAACTGATATCGATACAGGCTCGGCTCAGGGAGGGAGCCTGCTGCTGCTCCTGCTTCTGCTGCTGCTCCTGCTTCTGCTGCTGCTCCTGCTGCTGCTGCTGCTCCTGCTGCTCCTGCTGCTTCTGCT